CCCCCTGGACACTTTTTTTAACTCAGTACTGAAGTCACTCCTGAAGTTCACCCTTCAGCCAAAGATTAGACACATCTACAGAACAATAACACATGTAGTTCAACCATGTATACAAGACTAAATGGGCACAGCAGCCCAGAAGTGAAGAAAAGACAAGAAGGGACAGCAAAATCGGACAAATGGAAATGGGGAACGCAAAGTCAAGAAGGGGAGAGTTTTGACACATCCTGGGGTTGGCAACCAACGTCATAAAACAATTTGTGTATTAATTGTTTAGTGAGAAACTAATTTGCTCTGTAAACTTTCACCTGTTGTTGTTGTTATTATTAAGTGCCGTCATATCGGTTCTGATTCATAGCGACCCTATGTACAACAGAATGAAACACCGCCCAGTACTGCGCCATCCTCACAATCATTGCTATACTTGAGCCCATTGTTGCAGCCACTGTGTCAATCCATCTCCATGAGGGTCTTCCTCTTTCTCACTGACCTTCTACTTTACCAAGCATGATGTCCTCCAGGGACGAGTCCCTCCTGATAACATGTCCAAAGTATGTGAGACGAAGTCTCATCATTCTCCCCTCTATGGAGCACTCTGGCTATACTTCTTCCAAGATAAATTTGTTCATTCTTCTGGAAGTCCATAGTACGTTCAATATTCTTTGCCAACGCCATAATTCAAAAGCATCAATTCTTCTTCAGTCTTCCTTTTTCGTTGTCCAGCTTTCACATGCATATGAGGCGATTCAAAATACCATGGCTTGGGTCAGGCACATCTTTGCTTTTTAACACTTTAAAGAGGTCTTTTGCAGCAGATTTGCCCAAGGAAATATGTCATTTGATTTCTTGACTGCTGCTTCCATGTGCGTTGATTGTGGATCTAAGTAAAATGAAATCCTTGACAACTTCCATCTTTTCTCCATTTATCATGATGTTGCTTATTGGTCCAGTTGTGAGGATTTTTGTTTTCTTTATGTTGAGGTGCAATCCTTACTGAAGGCTGTGGTCTTTGAACTTCTTCAGTACGTGCTTCAAGTCCTCTTCACTTTCAGCAAGCAAGAGTGTGTCATCTGCATATCGAATGTTGTTAATGAGTCTTCCTCCAATCCAGATGCCCCCTTCTTCATATAGCCCAGCTTCTTGGATTATTTGCTCAGCATACAGACTGAGTAAGTATGGTGAAAGGATACAACCCTGACACACATCTTTCTTGATTTTAAACCATGCGGTATCCCCTTTCTCTGTTTGAACAACTGTCTCTTGATCAATGTACAGGTTCCTTATGAGCACAATTAAGCGTTCTGGAATTCCCATTCTTTGCAATGTTATCCATAATTTGTTATGATCCACACAGTCAAATGCCTTTGCATAGTCAATAAAACACAGCTAAACATCTTTCTGATATTCTCTGCTTTCAGCCGGGAACCATCTGACATCAGCAATGATATCCCTGGTTCCACGTCCTCTTCTGAATCCAGCTTGAATTTCTGGTAGTTCCCTGTCGATGTACTGCTGCAACCGCTTTTGAAAAATCTTCAGCTAAATTTTACTTGTATATAATATTAATGATATTGTTCAATAATATCTGCATTCTGTTGGGTCTCCTTTCTTTGGAATGGGAACAAATATGGATCTCTTCCAGTCATTTGGCCAGGTAGCTGTCTTCCAAATTTCTTGGCATAGACAAATGAGCACCTCTACTGTTGCATCCGTTTGTTGAAATATCTCAATTGGTATTCCAACAATTCCTGAAGCCTTGTTTTTCTCCAGTGCCTTCAGTGCAGCTTGAACTTCTTCCTTCAGTACTATCAGTTCTTGATCATTATGCTTCCTCCTGAAGTGGCTGAAAGTCAACCAATTCTTTTCGGTACAGTGACTCTGTGTATTCCTTCCATCTTCTTTTGATGCTTCCTGTGTTGTTCAATATTTTGCCCATAGAATTCTTCAAAATTGGAACTCGAGGTTTGAATTTTTTCTTCAGTTCTTTCAGCTTGAGAAATGCTTAGTGTGTTCTTCCCGTTTGGTTTTCTAACTCCAGGTCTTTGCACATTTCATTATAATATTTTACTTTGCCTTCTTGAGCTGTTCTTTGAAATCTTCCGTTCAGCTCTTTTATGTCATCATTTCTTCCATTTGCTTTAGCTACTCTACATTCAAGAACAAATTTCAGCATCTCCTCTGACATCCATTTTGATCTTTTCTTTCTTTCCTGTCTTTTTAATAACCTTTTGCTTTCTTCATGTATAATCTCCTTGATGTCTTCCCACAGCTCTTCTGGTTTTTCACCTAAGGTATAGTAAAAACAAATTTTTTTTTTAATATTCTATTTTCTAAAGCCACTCACTTGTATTTGTTACAGCACCACTAGGAAACTAAGACATGTGGAACAGAACCCCCAGCCAACCTATAATTGTCGTGTATTGTGAGTGAGAAGTAACTTTGTAGTGATAAGCTGTTGAAAGTTTGAGGTGTTTTGTTACTGTGGCATAACCTAGCCTTGCCTGATTGATATATCTGGGACCATAAAACAGTAAGAGACTTCTCTGGCAGTCCTACTGGGAGATAATAAGGACTGAATCTATGTGCCCAATAGCTGTGCACCAGGGGAGCCATGCCATCAGGCACACAACTCAGTCTTCAGGAGGTAGGACCATTCTCAAAGTTGTTGTTATTGTTAGGTGTCGTCAAGTCAGTTCCAACTCATAGCCACCCTATTTACAACGGAACAAAACATTGTCCAGTCCTGCACCAGCCTCACAATCGTTGCTATGTTTGAGCCCATTGTTGCAACCACTGTGTCAATCCATCTCGCTAAGGGTCTTTTTCACTGACTCTCTACTTTACCAAGCATGATGTCCTTCTCCAGGGACTGGTCCCTCCCGATAACATGTCCAAAGTATGTGAGACAAAGTCTCTTCATTTTTCTTCTATGGAGCATTCTGGCTGTACTTCTTCCAAGATAAATTTGTTGATTGTTCTGGCAGTCCATGGTACTTTCAATATACTTCACCTACACCATAATTCAAAGGCATCAATTCTTCGGTCTTCCTTATACATTGTCCAGCTTTCATATGCAGATGAGGCAATTGAACACACCACGGCTTGAGTCAGGCACACCTTAGTGACATCTTTGCTTTTTAACACTTTGAAGAGGTCTTTTGCAGTAGTTTTACCCAATGGAATACGTCGTTTGATATCTTGACTGCTGCTTCCATGGGCGTTGATTGTGGATCCAAGTAAAATGAAATCTTTGACAACTTCCGTCTTTTCTCCATTTATCATGATGTTGCTTATTGGTCCAGTTGTGAAGATTTTTGTTTTCTTTATGTTGAGGCATAATCCTTACTGAAGGCTCTAATCTTTGATCTTCATCAGTGCTTCAAGTCCTCTTCACTTTCAGCAAGCAAGGTTGTGTCATCTGTATATCACAGGTTGTTAATGAGTCTTCCTCCAATCCTGATGCTACGTTCTTCTTCATATAGTCCAGCTTCTTGGATTATTAGCTCAGCATACAGATTGAATAGGTATTGAAAGGATACAACTCTGACCACCACTCATCTGTCAGTTTGTCATACTGTGGTGGCTTGTGTGTTGCTGTGATGCTAGAAGCTGTGTCACCAGTATTTCAAATACAAGAAGGGTCATCCATGGCAGAGAGGTTTCAGTGGAGCTTCCAGACTGAGACAGACTAAGAAGAAAGACCTGGCAATCTACATCTGAAAGATTTGGCCATTGAAAACCTTACAAATAGCAGCAGAATATTGTATGATATAGTGCTGGAAAATGAGTGCCTCAGGTTGGAAGGCACTCAAAATACAACTGGTGAAGAGCTGCCTCCTCAAAATAGTCTACTGAAATGACATGGATGGAGTAAAGCTTTTGGGACCTTCATTTGCTGATATGGCATGACTCAAAATGAGAAGAAACAGCTGCAAACATCCATTAGTAATTGGAACATGAAATGTACAAAGCATGAATCTAGGAAAATTGAGAGTTGTCAAAAATGAAATGGAAATTCTCAAAGAGGCCATTGAATTCCTTAGGATTTATTCTGCTCTCATGAATATGGGCCATAGGTCAATGGCTTATGATGACCATTATGATTCTAGAACATTAGCTGATATTTAGAAGCCTTAGGCTGGGGGATGGGAGTCCCACTTCAAACTTCCTGTGATGATTTGTTGGGTTAAACAAGACTGTATCCAAAGCTCTCATGTGATATGAGAAATATAACCCTTTTTTGTTATCTCTTAGAACACTTATTTATTCATTCAAGAAGTTATTTATTGAGCACCTGCTATGTGCTAGTCATTGTTCTAGGTTCTGAGGATACAGCAGTGAACAAAATGGGCAAATATACTTGCATTATGGAGCTTATATTTTAGTGATGGGAGACAGATGATAAAAAGGAAAATTAAGTAGAAAAGATAGTACACTGTGGCAGCCACCTCTTTGGATCACTTGTCTTTGTTGAGGGCAGCCTGGTCTGGAGGAAAGATCCTAGAAGAGTGCCCTAGGTCCCAACATTGCCCTTTGCTAGCTGGGTGACCTTGGGTCTCAATTGTCACATTTATGATTCTGCATGTGTACAGGCCATAGAGGTTAGAGACAAGTGTAACCAACATGTTTACAATTCTCCAGCTGTGAGAGCATTTTAAACTTTTATCAACCATTTCACGCATAAAAAAATATAGAGAATAACATAATGAATGTGTCTACATTTAAGACATGAAATTGCAGAGTCAGAGTGACTTTGTAATGTTTCAACTTGGTAGGCCGAACTGCATTTCCCAGAATTCCCTCCCCTGTATTTTTCTGCTGAAAGTGGCCACAAGAGATTTGAAGGACAGAGGGGAAGCAGCGGCCACGTTATTTTTTACACACAGAAGGTCAGGGAAGGCTCCTCTATTGCATGCATTGCTTATCTGCTCACCTTGTTGGCATGGGGCAACATCCAGGGCTGCAACTGCTCCACCTTCCCATTTCCTCCTTTTGTTTCTTCAGCTCCTGAGCCAGGGGTGTGTTTAACTCCATGACAAAGGATGCCAGTTTCTCCTGCAGGATAGCTTCATCAAGGTTGGAGGTGGTGAGTAACTGACTCAGGTTTCAGTCCATCCTTGTGAGTTTCAGCTCATGCTTGTGGATTCTACCTTGTCCTCATTCTTCCTAACTTTACATCCATCTTCCCTTCTCAACTGGACTGCCAGCTGCCTGCTCCAGCATCAGAAACAACAGCCTTACAGAAACTTTTTAACTGGCTCCCACAATTGCGTAAGATCAAATCTCTCTAACAAAGATAATATATATATTATCGTTGATGATATGTGGTGTCAGCAAGGGTGAGGAAGGCATCCTTGACTCTCCAGACAGAACCCACATCTGCTTTAGCATGTGGCAGAGTGAAGCCAGGAGCCTAGGAGGCAACTCATTTGGTTTATGTTCTCCATTTCCCAGGGGTACCATTGGCAGTGGCCATGGTGATACTCCCTCATGTCTTTGGAACAGGAAAAGTAGGACATGGTAGATGCTATATGAGAACCATAGTGGACAGAGAGGTTTGTGAACTTATGTAAAGCTCTCCTTTGAGGACTCCAAAGATAAATGGGGTAGACACCTTGTGGGGCTAGGAGATCTTGACCATTTCTTTTTTATTAAGATTTATGCATTATTTCAGATTTATGCATTTTAGGCGCATATTTCACTCTATAAGAAACTACCAAACAGTTTTGCAAAGTGATTACATCATTTTACATTCCTGCCAACAATGTATAAGAGTTCCAGTTGCTCCTTATGCTCACCAGCATTTGGTAATGTCAGTCTTTGTAATTTTAGCCATCCTCGTGAGTGGGTGGGATATCTTAAAATATGATCTTAAATTTTATTTCCCAGGCACTGTTTTAAGTGCTTTGTTAACTTGCTTACTTCTCACGATAACCTTATGAAATAGGTACTATTACTATTAGCCCCATTTTACATATGGAGAAACTGAGCCACAAAAAGATTAAGTAGCTTGTCCAAAGTCACGACATACCTAGTGTCTTAGGTTGGGTTCTCTAGATAAGCAAAACTAGTGAAGCATACATGTATATATATATATATATATATATAGAGAGAGAGAGAGAGAGAGAGAGAGAGCGGGAGGGAGGGAGAGAGATTTATCTCAAGGAAATGGTTCACACAGCTGTGGAGGTTGGCAAGTCCCAAAGTCCATAGGTCAGGCGTCAGCTGGAGGCTTCTCCTGACTCACGTGATTGCAGGGGAGTATGAACCCAGAATCGGTATTTCAGATGGCATGCTGCTGGCTCACAGGGCTGTGGAAGCCGGCAAATCCCAAAGTTGGCAGGTCAGACAACAAGCTGCTGGCTCAAGTCCCAAGAACTGAAAGTCAGAGATGACAAGCTGGAAACAGGATCCAGAGCAAGCAAGCAAGCTTTGCCGGAACATCCATATATATACATATATTGGATACAGGTCACACCCCCGAGAAAACTTCCCTTACAACCGATTGGCAGATCACATCATGGAGGATGACTACATCATTATATAACTGCCAAACTACATCATTACATAACTGTCAAAAACTACATCATTACATAACTGCCAAACCATTGAGAATCATGGCCCAGCCAAGTTGACACACAGCCTTAACCATCACACCCAGTAAGTAGCAGAGCCAGGGTTCAAACCCGCACTCTGATTCCAGAGGTCAAACTCAACCCATCTGTTGTACCAGCCTCCCAAGGGTAAGTTCTTAGGCTCCACAATGGGTGTCCTTTATAAAGAGGACCAGCCACCTGGGAAGAGGTGACTCCTAACATGAAGCTTTACAGTCTAAAGATATGTGTCTGAAGAGCCATACCCCTGGAAACAGAAGAAGCTACAGCTGCCAGCCCACGACTGGGGGCTGAGCCAGGATGAGGGTCAAGGGCCACTAGTCTTGATCTCTGCCTTTCCCTGCTGGGCCCTGCCAAACGGCGCTGCAGCAGCTCTGCTTTAGCAGAGAGTGCAAGGTCATCCCTCATCCGTCAGCTTCTGGCCGTTTGAATACTGTCGGTGCCTGGGGAAGGGCACCATCTGACTCAGTAATGTTACAAGAATCTGGGGGTGCGCCAGGGGAAAAACTATCCTGCTGCCTTGAATCCTTTTTGAAAACAGGTGGGATATAAATTATAAATGAATAGATATGCTAGTCCTATCAGGGAATAGGGAACAACCAAACCCATCGAGTCAATTCCAATTCATAGTGACACTACAGGAAAGAGCAGAGCTGCCCCATAGGGTTTCCAAGGCTGTAAACATTTGTGGAAGCAGATTGCCACATCTTTCTCCCAAGGAGACGCTGGTGGGTTGAACCCCCCACTTTTCAATTAGCAGCTGAGTTCTTAACCACTCTGCCACCAGGGATCCTTAAAGAAAACACAAAACCCTACAATTGTCAAGCTTCTACCTGTGATTCTACAGTACTCAAGGAACACAACAGAGCAGTGGCTCCCAAACTTTTGAGTTTCAAAGACCAGTGAAGCTTATATAAATAGAAAATAATAATGCAACTGAAGGGAATGATAGAAGTTTGGTAGCTTTTAGCTTTGCCAAGCAAGGACATTAATAAAACAACAACCACTAATTGCTATCATCATTATGTCATAAAAGAAAGAACATATTAATAACCCCAAATGCAGGAGAAACATAATCTCAGAATAAGAGATTTTCTTTTAAAAAGAACTTTAGCTTTATGAAAAATTCACTACATTATCCTGATTTTCTCTCTGAAAATGCTGTTACTGCCAGGCCACAGTTCCCAGGAACCACTAACGAAGCTGAAAGTTCATGGTCTGGAGAATCAGAGAGATAAATTCAAATCCCAATTCTATTATTGTACATGGTGCTTTAGAAGGCATTCTGGTTATCTATTTACTTCTTTGTAACAAACTACCCCAAAACTTGGTGGCATAAAACAACAACAACTTCATTACACTCATGGATTCTGTGGGTCAGGAATTTGGACAGGGCATAGTGTGGATGCCTCTCTACTAAGATATACAGAGACTCAGGTGGGAAGACTCAAATGGGTGGAGTGACTCTAATCACCTGGAGGGACTGGAACCATCTGGAGGCTTCTTCACTCAATGTCTAATGCCTGGGCTGTCATGATTTGAAGGCTGGGCTCAGCTGGAGCTGTCAACTGGATCACCTACATGTGGCCTCTCCATGTGTCTTGGGCTTCCTCATAGCATGGCGGCCTTAAGGTAATCGCACTTCTTTCATGAGCCTACTGGCTCAGTGCTCCAAGAATGTGTAGGAAATAAGGTGGAAACTATATGGCCTTTTATGACCTTGCCTTGTAAATCATATAGCATCATTTTCTCTGAAAAATATTGGTTGAATCATTCACATTGATGGGAGGAATGTGAAAGAATTTGCAGCTACTTTTTAAAGCTACCACATTGGCGTTATCACATATAATCATTACAAAAACAACACAAGGTAAGTATCATTATCCCCATTTAACAGATGAAGAAACTGAGGCTCAGAAAGGTCATGAAATTTATTCCAAACTAGTAAAGTACTGAGCTAATATCTGCATTTTCCTGTGCTGATAGTCTCTTGACCTGAACCTTCAAGGCAGTAGAACACCCTCCCTCACTCAGCAAGTGAAGGAGGTATAGATGTCTAACATTGCTTGAAGACAGACCACAGACTCACACTTTTCCTTGGCTGATCTGTTCCCATGAACCAGCTTCCCAGGACTCCCTGAGCCTGTCTCCCATTCCTAGGCTCCATACTGCTAACTCAGGACCCTGACATTGTTGAGCTGTTAAACCCACAACTTTCTGCTGGACTTCTTGTTATGTGAGAAAAATGAACTCCTATTGTTTGGTTGGAAACCCTAGTGGTGTAGTGGTTAAGAGCTATGTTTGGCAACCAAAAGGTTGGCAGTTTGAATCCACCAGCAGCTCCTCGGAAACCCTACAGGGCAGTTCTACTCTGTCCTACAGGGTCGCTATGAGTCGGAATCAACTCGACGACAGCGGGTTATTGTTTGGTTGTGTGTTCTCTTACTTGCAGCTGAAAACCATCTAATAGATACACTGAGCATGACAGTTGATACCACTGATAGCAGAGTCAGGATTAAAGATAATCCGATAAGACTGAAACTCTCGCTCCAAATAAAAAACACAAAACGGAGTAGGAATAAACGTAAAGTTTCTACATTAAGGATAAAGACTAACTGCTCTATTCTGATAAAATATAAATGAACATATATTTTTAAATCCTGTATGTCAAAATATACCATAGACAGAGATAATCTACAGAGTGGGAGAAATATTTGGGAACTATATATCTAATAAGGGTTTAATGTCCAGAATATGTAAAGAACTTCCACAACTTAACAACAAAAAGACAAACAACCCAATCAAAAAATGGGCAAAAGACTTGAATAGACATTTCACCAGAGAAGAAATACAAATGGCCAACAAGCACATAAAAAGATGCTCAATATCATTAGTCATTAGTGAAATGAAAATCAAAACCACAATGAGATACCACTTCACACCCACTAGGTTGGTTGTGATTAAACAATGAAAAACAACAGATGCTGGAGAGAATATGGAGAAATTAGAATCCTCACCCATTGCTGTGGGATTGTAAAATGGTACAGCAGCTGTGGAAAACAGTTTGGTGGTTCCTCAAAAAGTTAAGCAGAATTACCATAGGATCCAGCAATTTCACTCCTAGGTACATACGCCAAAAAATTGAAAACAAAAACACAAACAGATATTTGTATACCAGTGTTCACTGTAATACTATTCACAATAGCCAAAAGGTAGAAACAGCTTAAATGTCTGTCAACAGATGAACGGATAAACAAAATGTGGTACATACATACAATGGCTACTACTCAGCAATGAAGAGAAATGAAGTTCTGATATATGTTACAACATGGATGAACCTTGAAAACATCATATTGAGTAAATAAATCAGTCACAAAAGGACGAATATTGTATGATCCCACTTACATGAAATGTCTAGAATAGGCAAGTGTATAGAGACTTAAGTTTATTGATAACTACCAGGGGCAGGCGG